TGCTTCTCGAGTGACAATCCTCATTCAGGCATGGCCTGGGATGGGTTTTGTAGAACTGGAGGAAATCCAATGGCATAGCTTTCCTTCAAGACCAAAAATTGTTCTGAATGTCCCCCAGTGCTTTAAAAATCCTCCAAAGTTTAATCATCTTCAACAATCATGAACCATGTTTTGAAAATGGGCAAGTGTTTCACTATGTTTTAGTGGCTGATGTGTTCTGCAGGTGAATTAATTCCACAGAAATGGTTTTACCAAAGGAAGTAGAAGAAGAATGGGCTTAGGGAGAGAAAGAGAGCAAATGGGAAGGTGTGGTGGACTGGGACTAAGAGGTAGGGAATGGAACCGAGAAAGGCAGAGATGAGAGAGGAAACCAGGGGGAAGGGAGAAGAGGGGAGAGATTATTGTTTGTTCTGTTCTGTCTGAGGTGCTGGAATGAAAACACATTAGCTAGTGAGGCTGTTTAGGGAATTGTTCTGAACAGCTATGGAGACATAGTCATGACTGAATAGAAGCACTTGTAACATGAGTTAGAAAATACAGCTGTCTGAAAAGTGTAAATTACCCTTGGCTCCAAACTGTCCAGTTTTGTCCCTCTTCAGTCATTGTAGTTGTGCATTGGGACAGGGTATGACACATATCCTTCCTGGATTTTGTGGATTCTACTTATGAGTTGTAAACCCCTAGTGTAGCACATTGCTGAAAGTGCTCTAAAGTTGTTTAGAGCGAAAAGAACAGAAATATGAAGCCAAGGCCTTTTAAGCAGCTCTGTAATAAAGGTTCTAGCCCCTGATCTGTGGCTTTCTAGAAATAGGCAGGCAATGTGATGGCTTGAAAAAAATTCTGATTCAAGATTTTTATTTAGAAGTCACAGAACTGCTTGCTCTGTGCCTCTCCTTACCAGTTTCCAAAGACTGTAGGACTTGGCTCTTCTTGTCTTTGTGCACTGCTGTATGGCTGCCATCCATGCATAGCCTGAGCTGGGGAGCATGTTCCCTGCCAGCCAGGTGTGCCAAGAGGTTGACATGCTGCTGTGGAAGGGATGCCTGTGGGGTGGGCTGTCCTGGGACTGAAGCTGCGTGTGTTGCTTATCTTTATTCTTGGGATCAAGGAGCCAGGGAGGTGCTCAGGGTATTGATCATTCTATTTTCCAGCAAGTGGACTGTTTAAGTCCTTGTTTCTCATTAGCTACATTGGGATAATAATGTTTCCCTCTCTGACTTAATGGAAGAAGTAAAGAAGATAACAGATATGAAAGGACCAGCTACATATTAGGTCCTCAGTATGTTTTATATATCTAAATGCAAATAATGCAGTCTAGATTGTAAACTCTTACTGCATTCTACATTGTGAGCACAGAGACAAGGGCACTCTTGTCCTCAGATGCCCAGCACCTGGCACACAGCAGGCACTTGGTGGTTCTTCAGTAATTCAACGTCTGAGCTGTTACTCTATTGTATCACTAATGAGGCTTAGAATTGCCCAAAGTTCAGATCAAGCCAAAACATTATTTTAATTAAAAAAAATTCTTACCAATGCATCACAGATTTGTTCTTTGCAAGAAACTCATACGTGTTTAAGGATATAATGACTTTACAGGCTTTACAAATTATGATGTTCTATCATTGAAATTAGGGATCAGGAAACTTTTCAGGAAAGGATTAAGTAATAAATATTTTTGGCTTTGCAGGCCATCTGTTATTTTTCCCACAAATATTCTGCAGTCACAGACAGTAAGTGAATGGTTGTGTTTCTTTCCAATAAAACTTTATTTACAAAAATAGGCAGTGGGTGAATTTGGCCTATGGGCTACAGTTTGTGAAATATGAAGCCCTCATTTATAATTTTGGAAAGAAGCAAATGTATGTCATTAAGCCTTGACTAGTGAGTAAAAGTTTATGTGGTATTAATTCTATGTAATTATTTTAATGACAGGAATAGCTGTAAAATACAGAGCATGCAAAACTATATCATTATTTCTACTGTTTAGCAGGTGAGACTGTTGAAGAGATATTTGCTCACAGTTGCGTCTAGCAGGATTCAGATGGGATTCCCCGTGTGCTCACGTCCCAGTCTTCGTGCTGCCTTCTCTGCCCTCACGTTACTCTGCTTGTCTCTGATCTCCACATCTCTATTCTGTTGGGGCAGGCAGGGGGCATTATTTCCAGTGTTGGAGGATGTAGTTTGAATCTGAAAGAATGGAGGGCTCCCAGGAGAAAGGCAATATGAGATAGCTTGAGGACAACTATAAGTTTTAAAACAAGTTTGTTGTGTTTTAGTCTTTATGGTTGCTGTTTTTTCAATTATAATGGATTTTTTCCTTTGTGACTTCTATATGGTGTTATGCTTTTAAATTTGGAAAAAAAATTATGAATGTCATGTCAACAATGAGCTTCAGATAGAAGATATGTTCTAATTAGATAAAAATATGTTAATATTTTGTATAAACACATTTTGTGTTCTCAGGGTTGGAATGTAAAGTTTGCTGAAAAAGATCCTTACAATATTTTAAAAATATTTCCTTTACCAGAGGAAGAATTTTAATCTTACTGTTTTACAGCAAATTTTGACAAAAACTTTGATTGGTGAATCATCCTGTCATCCCTGAAGTTTTAATTCCAGGCAGAAAAAGGCTAGTGATTGAAAGGTTGCTTGATTAACTTATAATTCTTTATCAGATCTAGGAGGAATTAGCTAATCCTATACTTGATGAAACAGATACTAATTTTACAGTCTGTTAACAAAGAAAATTTCTTTTAGCTGCCTTGAATAACAGTCAGGCTAGCTAACCTCCAAAATTCTTGCAAGTTCTAGTGTAATTGTGTTTTCTTGAAATCACTGACATCAGGCTGATTCTCTTCAGTCCCTCAGATGAGATCATATGTACAAAGTGCCGAGTTTGCTCAGCATGCACCACAGTCAGTGCTCAATACATTCTCATGTCTTCTTGAGTGATTTATCAAGTGCCCTTAATATGTAGTTACATTTGGTGGCAAATTTCCTCATCGCTGATTGAGCAATCACACCACACCAAATTTTAGGCTTGTAGGGCACAGTCATCTGTTGTCAAGTCTTTGTTGGCTTATTTGAAAGGATAAACAGATGCAATCTTAGATTAAAGTTAATTATACCAGCTTTGAATCTGCTCAGGTATTAAGAAGCCCCATGAAAAGTGTATATCGAAAGCAAATCATAACAACATGACAATCACAAATCCAAGGGGTCAGGCAAAAAAAAAATCATCATATTTTAATTGTAAATAATATTCTTTTTAAAAGACTGATTAAAAGCAACTGTATTAAGTAGCTAATGACCAATTGGCATCAGCTATTAACTGACTCACATGCTAAAATATCCCAATCTTTTGGAAATCATAATCAGTGACTAGGTTGGTTTGTAGAATTTTGTGGAAGTATTTAGAGAAACCACACAATCATTTTCAAGTGATGGTAGAGTAAAGAAAATTGACAGCATGTTGGAGATGTTTTTTTTTTTTTTTTTACTTATTACTGAGATTGAGAAAATCCTTCAATGTTTAGCCACTAATTTCTCTTGCTTTGTATCTTTTCTAATAAAAAAGACTTTTACTTGTTTCATGTCTGCCATAGCTGCATATGTACCCTATATTTTACATAAAGACAATATCCTTTAAAAAAAAACTTTTCTGTTGAATTTTCCTAAATCTAATATATTCCTATTTGTGGAGCTGCTCTTTAGATAATATTGTTGTCAGATAAGAGTTTAAAAAAGGAAGATGGAGCTATCAAAAAAGAGAACCAAATGTATGATCGAAATATTGTTAATCAGCTATTTTTGTTTTGAAAATCTGTAACATATTACAGATTATTATTAATATTTTATATATTATTATAACACACAAGTATTATTATATGTTGCCCAGTTTCTGCATTTGTTTCTGATATTAGTCTTGCTTTTGTTTTTATCTTTAAAATAAAAATAAGTTAAATTAAAAAAATAGAAGAATCCTCACTTTGCCCCTAAATCACGTAAATTCCTACAGTTCCAGCTCTATCTCAGATCCTCATGGTCGTTAACGCCGTCTCACCCAGGTTCACAGTCATTAACAAGGCTGGGTTCTGGCGTGCTGGAAAGACAACATCAGGAGATTGGGGCTCAGTTCTAAAACTTTGTTCTGGAATTCTGCATCATTTGTACTGTCTTATACTGCTTTGTTTCTGTGTTTGTTCTTGTTATTTGTTATAGTTTTGTTTTTGTTTGTTTGTTTTTCCTCGTAAAATTAAAAAAAATAAGTTTGCTAGGATGTTTGCCCAGCGAAAGCTTTTTAAGTGTCTTCTAAAAAAATAATAGGAGCGTCTGGGTCCCTAAAGTTCCTTGAAAATAAATGGGTAAGAAGGCCATAGAGCACAGGCGGCCGAGTTTAGTGCTTTCTAGAGACAGTGGCACACATTTTGTCAGTTCTTCGGCTCTTAATAAATTTGTTCTCCTCTAGAAAGTCTCTTCCCCTCCATCTGCATAGTTTAATTTCTGTACTGTGACTAGGATTCAGTTATTCTTGTCAAAAACCAGACAATGCCCTCCCCACCTCTAGCGCTGCTACAAGGAAAGAGGAAAAAAAAAACTTTGAAAGGAGCTTAAAACACATAAGGTCTTGTGTAACAAGTTTAAATGTTTAGAATAATATGAGTTCAAATACAAGGGATTGCCCATGGCAATAAGTGTGTGAGGTAAACCAGTTTTCTGCTTTTCTTTTATCTAGAATAGAGATTTGGGAGAAGGCATGGGCTAATTATTACGTTGAGTGTTCTATAAAAAGACACAACTGATAAAAGCAAAGAACACATATATATGTTAAGTGAAATATGTAATTCAATTGAAAGCATGAAGCGTACAAATTTGTTTTAAAAAAGACTTGCCATGCTTCTCTTTTCCCTTTAATCAATCACTGACAATTTTACCCTACATTCCAAAAGCGCACTTGGAAAAGCGCCACCGTGGGAGGGGCGGTGCTGATTATATTTCCATTCCTGACAGGGTGTGGAGTGAAACTCACCTGGCCAGCTGGCTGCAGCAACTCTGAAGGCTCAAGGTAAATGCTTGCATTGCCTAGTATGCTTTGTAATGGGAAGCACTGCATTGGAAGAGTATTTTTAAATAATTGGAAACCACAGGCGATGTGGCTGAAACTGAAGGATATGCGATTTCTATTAATTCAAAATCCTTGAAAAGGAGAGCAACTTGTTTTCTGATGCTGTAGGTCCTACAGATGTGGCGGTACTCACTGGAAGATGTGTATGGTGTCTGTCGCCTCCCTCAACCACAAACACCTGGTCAGATGTCTGATGTATCGAACTGATTTTCTAAAAGAGTGGTTGCTGAGTTCTTTATGCCTTCATAAAATTGTTTTTTTTTTAATCTTTGAGAGAGTTATTTCTAAAATATAAAATGACAGGTGATTTAGAATATCTATAAACAGAATGGATTTAGATGCTTCTTTGGTGCTATAAATTGGAAAACACTTTTGCCTGCATCTTTTACAAGTACTTCTTCGTTTTGTAGATATTGTTTACTATTTACCTCGTTATAATTTGCATTAAACATTTATTTCAGCAAAGTAGTATCTTCCTGTGTAAAGTTGGAATCTAAATACTGGGTTGTCAGTAGCTTTGTGGAAATTATAGAAATTATTAAGAGCTAAAATAATTTTGGAGTGTATATTTTTTCTGTGTGTTGTATATAAAAAAGTACAATTCCATACAGAACATTTTAGGCTGTCAAAATATCACTCTAAACTTTTAATTTTGCTATAAAGGAAACCATATATTTTAATATGTGAACTATTTTAATAAAGTAAATCATTGACCAAATACTAATTCTGCTATGTAGCATCTCTTGATTATAGCTACCTGCAGCATGTATAATGTCTGAACAGTATCATTGAACATTTCAGACATTAGGTTATCTACAATGAAAAAAGGGCAGACGACAGCAAAGAAACCCATTAATATTTATCAAATACTCCTTCATGTGCCATGGTGTTTTAAGTTATAAGAAGCAGAAATGCAAAGGACATTGAACCTACTTTCAAAAGAATTACGTTGGAAATGAAGACAGAAATGTGAAACCAAATGCCTTACAGAGCCACAGGAAAATAGAACTATAACTGCACCATGGTTATCCCTATAGTGTGGTGACTAGCGCTTTGGGTGGGGAAGGCAGAGGAAACTGGAAGAGGGTGTTACTGGAGTAATGAAGTTAGATGGAAAGAAAACAAGTGAAACATCATGTATTAGAGTCTCTAAAGCCATCAAACAGTGCAGGGGTGGGGTTCAGCGGGAGAGTGTTCCCCAGCAGAAGCAGAGCCTTGTTTAGATTCAGGCTCTAGCACCATCAAACAAGCAACAACGAAGTGATACAAAAGCCTTAAAAAGATTTAAGAATAACTGATATTAAGAATTTCCTTCCTAACAATGTACTTGTCAGATGCAGTGTAGTGCGGATCTGCAAGCCCAGCTACTCTCAAGGAAGCAGGCTTTCAGTCCTGTCTGGGCAGCTTAGTGAGAGATCCTGCTTCAAAATAAAAAAGATATAAAGGGTCTGGGGATATCACCCTGAAGCAGAGCATCCCTGGGTTCAATTCCCAGTACCACCACTATAATAACCACTACAACAACAACCAAAACTCATTTGTTTTCAAAATTTTGAAGATAAGAAGTAGCATAAAAAATGATAATTTTAATTAAATAAGAGTAATATAATTGTTTAATGACAGAAAATATAATGGAAGTTACAGAAGTTATACAATTAATTTTAGGTAATTAAGAAGATATAACTGTATATAGTATGAAAAATTCATAAGTAAATAAATTATGATTCCATTAGATAACTGATAAATGGGCAAGAAGAGCCAATGGAGAGAATCTCTAAATAGAAAAAAATACATGGCCAAATGTTTAAAACTCAGCAAGTATCAATAGAATGCCAATATGTTCTTTTACTTTTTACATTATTAAGAATTACAGTGGACGTATCTGAAGACATAAGAGTGTGATGCATCTGCTTAACCTGTGACCTTGGGTTGACAGTATGAAAGTTAAAAATCTATATTATATTTGTTCTAAAAACCCTAGAAGAGGATAACCTAGTGAACTAATATACAAGAAGATAAAAAGCTATGTTTATGAAGGAATGCATTCTACAAATAATCCTAATCATAAAAATGACAAGTTAACAAAATGCCCAGCAGTAATATATTAGTTTATAAATTTAGATGCATAAACCTAATTGTAAAGAGAGCAAAAAAAGACAAATATAAAGACAACACCAAAGCTGATAAATGCCTAAGATGAGAACAAGTGAACAGATGTACGATTACATACTCAGACTTTGAGTTCGGAACACATGGGAAAATAAAGGCAATCAACATATCAATATTTTGAGAGCAAATACTTCATTATTGTTACTTTTCCATCAAAATTTGAAAATCAAAATTCTTCTTGTAATTTATTAGAGGTTAGATTTTCAATCACTAGCCTGAAGAATATCATAGAAAAAATATGACAATATAGAAAAAATATGACAATATTTGCATAGACATAAAATGTGTTACCTATTTTTCCTTAATGAAAACTTCCATTCTCTCCTCCCTATGCAGATAGTTCTGTTTAGTAGGAGGTGACACTGGAGACAGTAAGAATGTAATTGTGCAAGACAAACCCAATATAGAGATTATAATCTTGAAATCTTGACCCTTATCTGTGACACATTTGTGCTAATTTCAATGCACTTTGAAAGAATTGCCTAGTGAGTATTCATGGGAGTTTCAGGTGGACAAACTGGGTCCTAAGATGCCCCATGGCAGAAGGGCAGTTTGGAGAAGTCTTGAGAAGGACTCTGTGCTGCACCCTGCAGGGCTTTCTGTAACCTGTGGAATTGGCAGGGTACATAGCATGGGCATGTACCTCGTGGGGGTACTGTCACTTAAAAGACTTGGGCAGTGGGTCACTCAGGGCATGGTTTTTTGGGCACATTGTTATCTAGTCAGAGGCCAGCAGAGTGTAGGAGGAAAGAAAATGGTTTTGAGCTCAGACTGAATTGACTGATTTGCACACCAGCTTTGTCTCTTAGTGGCTGGATGGAAGAAACATAACATACATAATCTTTTGAAATTTAGAGACAATATCTGTGAAACACTGGGTACATCGTAATTATTATTCTGTTTTTTTAATTTTGAAGCGAATTGGAAAAAAAACATGGTAGAATTTCAAAACAAGATGATAGCATAGCTATTATTCTTAGGTAGTTGTGGTAAGAATAGTCCTATTTCCTTGAGCTGATGGTATTTGGGAGACCTCACTATTTTAAAAGGTTATTTCGAATAAGTTTGAAAATAGTGATGACTAAAGTAATTATGTACAAGTTTTTCAAGTTGTAGCTTAGTCAAGAGGCAGTCAGCATTAGCAATTACTTTTAGAACTTAGCCAAACAGTTGCTTCGTACAGTATGGGTGATGTTTTCTAAAGTAGAAGAAAAGTACTACCTTTCCTGCTACTTCTTGGGGGCACATGTGCAGATTACATTGGTGCTTATATTTCATTATGAGATGCTATTTTCACAGTATGAGATACTCTTTTTCAATCTTCTATATATTTTATTTGTTATATTAACTCCAACACAAGATCTTAAAAATATTTGCCATGTTTAGTAATACATTTTTAATGCAGTTTGAAATTAAATGGTATACAAAAACACACACAGGAGTGTGATCAAATTGGTTAAATTTTAAAAATTATTGATGTAAAAGACATATTGTCCTTATTCATTCTCAAAATGATCCCCTCACTTTGAGCACAATTGTCCCATGGCTCTTGCCACTTTATGAAGCTGAGCTGGGTGTCATTTCTCATGAGTTCCACTTCCACGTCTTGTCTTACTCACTCACCATGCAACCTCTGGTTCTTCTGCAAATAAAAGGCAGATGTTTTACCTACATGTAGAACATTGAAGGCCCTGTGACAGTGCCAGTGAAGACACTCAAGGAAAAGAACTGCTTCAGAAAGTATCAAGAACCACTGGATAAGTGTGTTTGAAAAGAGGGGGAGTATTGTGGAAGCAGCCACTTAAAGAACTGAGCTAGGGCTGGGCCCCCAAGAGGGGGAGTATTATGAGGTGGATTCATTGCAACGTGTCTTTTTCTGTAATAAATTTTTAAAAATTTAAATATTCACTGTAGTCCTGAGCATATCCATATGTAAAATTATAACTTTATGTATAAATATAAACAAATGCATAAGAAATAAGTGTAAGTTAAATGTATAACCAACACACAGGTCAAGAAAGAAAACACAGTGGGGCCGGGGAGATGGCTCAGTGGAATAGACACTTCCCCGGCAAGTGCAAAGGACTGAGTTCAATCCCTGGTTCCATCAAAAAATAAAAAAATTAAAAAAATTAAAAAGAAAGAAAGAAAACACAACCAGCTTTCTGGACAACTCCCGTGCCTATGTCCTGTGGTGTACTCGAGCCAGCTCCTAGAAGTTAACGAGGGCAGATTCTATTCATCTTTTTCTAGTTCTTGGCACAGTGATCTCTTGGTCTCTTGAAATTTATCATAAATCAGTTATTTGCACTTCTTGACATCAGTAAGTACTGGGTATTATGAACTACTATTCTTGTCTGTTGTTAACTGAAGTCCCCCACATATCCCTAAGGGCACCCACTCTCCTGACTCCTAAAACTAGAGATTACTTCTGTCAGCTTTAAACCTTTGTCTACTTTGTTAGGTCATGGATTTCTCAAAGGCAGAACTTGTGTCTCCTTCAGTTCATCCTTTTATATTTAATGTTGATGTTTATTGAATCCTTAGATTTCTGCAAGATTTAGCTATAATTATAAATGAGTGCCAAAAGCAGGATATTCCAACAGTAAGCAGGCCTGGGCAGAGGACAGTCCTGCTTCTCTCTTGGTCAGGAGTGTGATGGTATGCAAGTCACTTCCTGAGGCCTCAGTGCTTTTTCTTGTTGTTTGCTTTTTGATGTTAAGAAGGGAGTGGGTGTACATGGGCAGTCACGTCCTTTGTAAAGCAGGTGAGATTCTTCTGATCATTCAGCTCTGCAAGTATTTATTATGCCAGGAGGATGCACCTTTTCACTCTGGGGCCAGGGGTGCATCTGCAGAGAGCTCCTGGGTGCAGTTAACCCAGAGGGCTTAAGGGGCCTGGTTGCAATCGCTTGTCTTTCTGTCCAAATCCCTCCTTTCCTCCTGTATTTTCTGCCTCTAGTAGTGAACAAACAACCAGAAAGTCCTTGCCTTCTCCTCCTTCGATGCTGCAGATTTTAGCCAAATGGAAAACTCAAGTCATATAACTAAGGCTTTAAATTGTTCTTAAAATGTAAATTTTATCTGAAATTTAGCTTAGCAAGCACAAAATGAAAAAAATCAGGCATAAATTTGGCAGGAAATGCCAGAATTAAAAATAGATTGTCAACTGTAAATGGGAAGTACAGTATCAATATGCACTCACCTGTGTGTGGTCAGCTTTATTTTAAGTTAGTAGAAATACTTGATATAATATAAAGAATATTTGGCCAGTAGATGTGTGATTTCATTATTCAGTTTTATCTTTGTGAAAGAGAAGCAATAATATGCCTTGCAGATAAGATTAAACTTATTTTATGTAAAATATCTGCCATGTTGAAGCACAATTTTTTTTTAAGGAGAGTACAAAATAGTAAAAAGAACATTAGAAATGATATAGAATTTCACTACACAATATAAAAGAAATTTGATATTGGTTATTGTATTGCATAATGTAGACTTCAATTATTTGTTTAGATTACTGGATATAAGCATGCAAAATTGGCAAAAAAAGTTATAAGAAATTAAAAAGGAGAAGAAAAAAATTAAAGCGTTAGGTGCTCCTTTTAGTAGACCAGTAGAAATCAGTAGTTTTATTATCCAAGCTATTCCAGCACAACTAAATTTTTAAAAGAGAATACAAAATAATATTAAAAAGAAATACAAATGATACAGAATTTCATTAAACAAAATAATATGAAATCAACAGTATTTGCATAGTGCGGTCTTCAGATTTGTTCAGATTACCAGATATATGCATACAAAATTGGAAAAAGAAAGAAAAAAAAGAAAAAAGTTATATTAAGAAGAGAGAAAAAGGAAAAAGAATGAAAAAAACCAAAAATATTAATATTTTTAATATTTAATAATTAACTGCTCCTTTCCATAGAAAGTTAAATGAGATTATATGGGTTTAGGGAAGGTACCTATCAAATCTTTCTGGTACAATGACAGATATATTCTTTCGGGGGATGACTCAGTAGAATAAGTGCTTCCCTGGCAAGCTCAAGGGTCTGAGTTCAATCTCCAGTTTTGATTAAAAAAAAAGGAGAAAATTGAAAACACATACAACATAGTCTCTGGATATAAGGAAGAAAATCATGTGAAATGGGGGCAGAGGTGTGTCGAAGATATTTGGCCACCACTGAAATTAGGGACAGATAAACAAAACAGACTTTCCCTGAAAGCTGCTAGAATGTATCACTCTACTGATACCTTGATTTTGAATGTCTTTCTGAAGAATGGTCATGGTAAACTCTTGTCTTCAAGCTACCTGGCTTGTGATAATGTGTGTGGCAGCTCTAAGAAACTAATTCATGTCATTAAACAAAAATAGATCCCCACTTGTATCACTACAACTGTTAACACCAGTGTTTGTATACATGATGATGGCAATATTCTTCTAGTTCTTAATAACAGCTATTAGCTGTGTATAATTGTATCTTGTCTATTAAAACTAAGAATTGTTTGTATGCCTATTTGTTTTCAGTCACTGTTTTCTGTCTGTCTTTTGGTTTCAGATACTTAAGAATTTTACAATGGAGTCTCTTGTTGTAGGAAACAACAAGTTTTGCTTTGATTTTTTCCAAGAGATAAGCAAAGATGACCATCATAAGAACATCTTTTTCTGTCCACTGAGCCTCTCGGCTGCCTTTGGCATGATCCGCATGGGGGCGAGAAATAACAGTGCACATCAGATTGATGAGGTATGTAGTCATGCAGGGAGTTCCTGGGGGCTGAGTGCTGTGTACAGTCTTAAAGGCAGACCCTAATCTGGAGCAGGCCAGATTTCTTTCTGCACCCTGAGCTTGTTGGCTTTCTCTGCAATCCTATCATTGTTCAATGTTCACTCAAATTTCTCTCTCTCTTTTATGGAGATTCCTCATGTTTTCCCATATACAGCTTTTCTCAATCTTCTCCTCCCTCACTGTCTGCAAATCTGTTACTCTTTCTTTTTTCTAATTATAATTACCAATACTGCTAGTAACTTTTAATATATGCATGTATTTTCTGTTTTATACATTTTGTTAAGTAGTTATTGAGCACTAGACATTTATCCAGCAGGGCATGGTGGCATACTCTTGTATACGCAGCACTCAGTAGACTGAGGCAGGAGGATCATTACAAGTTTGAGACCAACCAGGGCTATAAAGTGAGCCCAAGGCCAGCCTACAATGCATAGCAAGACCCATTCTCAAAAAGACAAAGCAAAACAAAAAGACATTTTTCCAGTGGCTAGAGTTCTTGGTGTTCTCCTTCCACCCTCACTCTTATTCCAAATCACACTTGTCAGAAATTCCTACTGGCTTTTCTTTCCAAATATCCCCAGGACCCATGCTCTTCTCACCTCTTCCTGGGCTCTGAAATGCACCATCTCACCCAATGTGGCTTCTGTTCAGCCTTCTGCTCCCACTGACCATCTGTTCTCCACTCAGCAGCCTGAGATCCTTTCAAATCTAAGGCTGACCCTTTTGCATAGTTGCTAAAAACCCTAGACTTTTCTTTTGGTTCATCATAGAAGCCTGAGTCCTCAAAATGGCCCACCGGAGCTAGGGATCTGAATCTTAGAACAACTTTGTGACTCTACCTCTCATCCCTGCTGCTCCTTCCTTGCCTGCCACATAGATTTTTTGGCTTCCTTGGGAAAGTCATCCATTCCTGTCCTGATGCCTCTGTTCCAACTTCCTTGGCCTTGTGACTCTTCCCTGGGACAAGTGATGTTTTAGTTTTTTTCTTTTTCAAGATTTCGATTAGCGATAACCTCTGCTAAGAGGATTCTGATTTCTCAACTTAATGTCTACTCCTTGTCCCCAATCTTATGAAAGATTATAATTATTTTCCCTGACATGGGGTTTACCACCACTGAACACACTACATAAGGCAATCAGTTATTATGTATTGCTGTTTGTATGCCACATATACTAGAATATAATCTGGAGGAGATCAAAGTTTGTTCTAGAACAGTGCCTGCATTAGAGTAGATACCCAGTAAATAGTGTAGAATGAATGAACAAAGATGATTAGAATAACTCTTCAAGCAAACTAAAAGCTCTTGAGGTTGGCCTTATATGTCCTTGGATCTAGCACACATACAAGGTTTGGGAGTAAGGTTATATTATCCCTGAATATGGAGGAGTCAAATTTATGAATTAAGGCAGAATGTGGTTAGGGTCATTCTGCTTCATTTATCTACCTAGAATGATGTATCACTTTCTCAATGCATTGCAAGGCATAGCTGCACAGGGTGGTTTGCTCTTCTAGGTCTGGCTCATGTTTTTTTTTTTCTCCATGCACATGGGGTCCCTGGCCAGCAACTGGAACTGAGCAGTGCCTGATGTACCTCTAGCTCTGGTCAGCTTTTCTTCTGCCACCTTTGCTTCCTAGATTGCCTGGAAACCATGGGTCAGTCCTATTCTACACAAGTATAATCTGAGTCACATATACAATAAAAATATTTTAACCCTCTCATTAAAATTTTTTTAACCAAATATTTAGAATTTTTTTGTCAGCATATAATCAAGATAGAAATGTAATAAAATGCAATTAGTGGTGTCATGTAGATTTCTCAGTGTGCTAAGTGCCTGCCTAGGCAAGCACAAGGATCTGGGTTGGATTCCTCAGTATCACATGGTGTGGCCCCACCCTGGGCAGCCAAGCCCACTAGGAAGACCAGGCGTGGGGGTGTGTGTCTGTAATCCCAGCATTGGGGAGGCTGAAACAGGAGGATCACTATGAGTCCAAGCTGTGTAATGAGATCCTATACCAAACACACACACACACACACTCACACACTCACACACATGTAACTAGCATAAAATTTGAATGAGATATTTTATTTTTTAAAAGAGTACAAAACTTTTTAAAAGAGTACATTCTCTTTCAAAAGAGAAAAAAATTACAAGTAACACAGATTTTCTTTTGTTTTCTTTCTTTCCTTCTTTCTTTTTTTTAAAATTTTTTTTTGTGGAACTGGATATTGAACTGAGGCCCTTGTGCTTGCCAGGGAAGTGCTTATTCTTCTGAGCCATCTCCCTGGCCCCTGACACAGAATCTCACTTGACGAAGTAAGATGAATGTCACAGTATCTGTTGCAATACACAGTGCTGCCTTCCAACCAGTTATTCATATTACTGGGTACATGCATGTAAAATTGAAAGAAGAAAGAAAAGTGCAAGAAATTAAGAAGACAAAAAGTACAATCAATTAAAAAAGAGCCAAAACAAATTATTATCTACTCCTTTCCATAGATCAATAGAAATACACAGTACAATTGTACAAAACATCCTGCCTACATACACAGATAAATTCCCTTCCCCCACTCCCTCTCTCATCCTTCTCCTCAACTCAGAAACTCCTTGCTTCTGAAGAAGTTCATTCCTTTTCCCCAGTACCCATTGTACCCTTCAAATTCTATTTTTACACTTCTGGTTCTCACATCAAGGAAACAACATGATGTTTGTACATGTGGGTCTGATTCACTTCACTTAAGACTATGTTCTCTAGCTGCATCCATTTATCAACAAAAGACTCAAAATTTATCCCATTTTATAGCTGAATAATATTCATTTGTATAAAAATACCACATCTTCATTATCCATTTTTCATTTGATGGGCATCTGGGTTGTTTCCAAGATTCAGCTGTGACAAATTGCCCTGCTATAAACATGGGCGCACATATATCACTGTGGTATGAGGTTTTCAGTTCTTTTGGAAAATACTCAGGGCAGGAATAGCTGGCTTGAATCCTAGCTTTTTAATGAATCTCCACACTGATTTCCATAGGGTTGTACTGGTCTGCACGCCCACCAACAGTGCAGAAGTGTTCCTTTTTTTTCACAACCCCTCCAGTATTTGTTATTTGCTGACTTCTTGAAGTTAGCTATTCTTTCTTGGG